TGGCTTAAAAAGATGTGGGCAAGAAGGGTCTGGCGCTATGTAAAAAGTTAATTTTTCTGTCATCTTTTCTATCGGATAAAAAAATATTTTTTTTAAATTTACTCAGAAAAATTTTTCTTTGTATATACGCCGTTCTGAACATCTAAAAGACTTTTGACATTTGCCAAGAATGTTCGTTTAGACGCTGTCATATAACCATATTCTTGACAATATTGTTTATACGAATCGTACAATGACCTTTCATCTAATGACACAAAGTCAGTTTCATCTACGAACAGTTCATATACACTCTTGTTTGCTTCTAACAATGTTTGTCTCTCTTCGGTATATGGAATTTGTCTTGGATTGAACTTAGAAATATCTAATGTCATGAAATATGAGAACAAGTGGTTGTAAAAGTCAGATGTCAAAGTTTCTGCTAAGTCGTCAAAATATTCTGTATCTTGCATATGAGAATCTGACGTTCTGACAACTACATATCTTCTGTCAGAACTTTCTAACTTCATCGGAACAGCATTGTTTGAAACCATAATGAAATTTGCAACATTTTCACAAACTCTTTGGTCTTTATATTTTCTTTCAACAACTCCAACTTTGTCTGTTATAAGACTCTTCAAAGCATCCGAGTTTAAAACCTTTGTTGTATCTATACTTTGAAGTTCATTGCAAACTATAAGTTTCATATTCTCTATTGAGGAGTTAAACTTGCCACAGATGTTTTCTAAGTTTGTCATATTCGGGTTCGAATAGCCCTCTAACAGTTTGCACAAAATATCTGTAAAGAATGTGTTCTTACCTGTTCCTTGTTTTCCAATTATAATGAGAGCAGTTTCATTCTTAGCACTTGGATGTTGTAAGATGTTTGCAAACCAACATAAGATATACTCATAGACTCTTTCGTTTCCATTGCATATAATTTCTTTGACATGGTCTAACCAAGCTTCTATAATATTTTCTTTCCATTCTACTTGTTCATATTTATATCCAGTGAGAAGAATAGAAGTTTGGAGAAGGTGTATAGAACTTTATACCTCGAACTGAAAATCTTCTAACTTTGACAATAAGATATCCCAAGCATCTAACATCTTCATGCAACTTGTACTACGACTTTTATTTTCTTAAGTTTCTGTCTACATTCTTGTTCTGAAACTATGGTTGCTCTTGGTTTGTTAAAGACAACATCCCATTCTTTCATGACATAACATTCTGGGGCAGAGTCGACATAAATGACTAAACGTTTCAAATTCTCGACTGCTTTGTTATATGTCTCTAAATGGACACATATTTCTGAATGCTTGGAAGTCAAAAAAATCTGAAACATCTATTCTGTACATTTTTATAAAAATAAAAAAAATATTATTTTTTTATTCTTGACTTTGTTGTTCCATTTGTTGCATTTGTTGTTCTTGAGCTATTTGTTTGTTGAAGTTGTTCTTGTAGTACAATACTTTCACCAGTTGCATCTTCCAATTCGAAACTTTCTGCCGTCATTGACAAATACATAGGACATAAAAGTTTTACAGGAACAAAGTTTGCGTCAACTAATGTCAACGTTATACTTGCCAAAGTGTTTGAGTTTCACTAAGGTTGAAAATTCTGCATTCGAATGAACAATAGGCAAACCAGCAGAGAAAGTATTGTTTATACGCATAAGTATCTTTTGGTCATAATAGTTTCTGTCGACATTCGAATACACTTTGAACCTAAGTTTGAAAACATATATAAGATTGTGTACTTAAAGTCAATGGAACAGACATTCCTTGTATGACACCTTTTCCTGTTATAGGAAACTGTTGGTAGTAAAAACCAGAAATAAGTTTTGTATTATAGCTCATATTGTTTATAGTAAACTCAGTCGGACATCCAAACATAATGAAACCTGCTCTAGTTGCAGCACATGTTACATCCGTCCTTAAAGTATTAAATAAGTCAACAAAACCTGTTGTGGGTATATCTGAATAAGTATCTTCAAAGGAGTATTTTTTACCATTCACAACAATAAAGTCTTCTGGTGTCAAAAGAGCAAAACAGGCTTTAGTCGTCATTGTGTTTAAAGTTAGTTTACAATATCGTCCTTGAGGACTTTGTAAGTTTGTTGTTATAGAATTATATGACTCAGGGTTTTTAGTCGTAATAGTATAAACCACTATGTCTTCTGCCATTTACTTAGCAAAATAAATTTTAATGAAATGTTGTGGTCGTCAAATATTTTTATGACGTCTGGGAAACTATATTTTAAGTTCAACGTTTCACCTCCTTTCATAACGTATATCTTGTCAATGACATTATATGAAACACCACAGCAACTAACGTCGGTTCTATTTCTTTGATGTTTATATCGTCTGCCTCTGTCAAAGTTTCAATAGTTCTTTCAAAACTTCATGAGGTGCAATGACATATGAGTTCACTTTTACAGGGTTGTGCTCAACCAAGTTTAACATTATACCTAAAGCTTGACAAATCTTCTCCTGAGTTTGAAGTTTGTCTTTCAGTTGTTGGTAGTCGTTTCGAATATCTGCAACAGAACTTAAGTCTCTGCTAACTTCAGGATATGTTGGTTGTTCTTTTACAGGAACAATTGTTATACCATCTTCGTCCTCGTATGGTTTCCCCACTTCAACATCTCGTCTTTGACATTGACAACAACACTTTGACTGTTTGTTTGAGTTGGTGAATTTAACTTCACATCTGCCACCGCCATTAAACCTTTTGAAACACTTACGCTTCTATTTTTCGGAAATGACATTTTACTTAGAATAAAAAGATGGACGTATTCGAGTATCTCTTCGAATTGAAGCAGAACAAAGTTTACACCACAAAACAATACAAATACATTGACAGAATTGTTCTTTATACAAACAATGGTAAATGTTATAGAAATAGCAGTCTTTGCTGAACCAAAATATTTTCATAAAGCAAAGAAAGTTGGTATAACCGAAATGGTGAAAGTTCTTGAAGCAGACAAAAATATAACAACAAAACTGACCGATATTTCTAAAGGAAAGTTTATAATACAATTTTATGTCAAAACTGGCGTACTGTCAATATTTGACGGAGAGAAGTCAGTTCAAGAACAACTTACTGACCTGCTGCCAAAATCTGCTCGATGGAAGCTGTCGTTATGCCAATCTGAGGAGCCCCAGCAGGTTTCATCGAACGAATCTTCAAAAGAGCATCTTCCGTGAAAAGTGCTATTGGTTTTGTAAACTTCATTGCTCTCAGTTCATATGGACCGTCTCTGTCACCAGTATATTGTATTTGTACAGTACCAACAGTTGAAATACCACCCATAAAGTCTTCTGAGTCAGCAAATGGAATGCCAAGCCAAAAGTTTGAACGGTCTCCATTTGTATATTGAGTTTTTTGACTTCCTGTATGAGTCCATACTTTCACATATGGCATAATAGAACTTTGCATTTCAGGGTTAATGGTTGTTGTGAAGTTGTTGTTAAAGTTCATAGCATCTAATGTCAAGTTGTATGACCTCATATCCTCAACTGTAGAATATTCTTCTCTTGGATAATATTTGCCATCTATGTTTATATGATATTTAATACCGGGGTTGTAGAAACAAGAATAGTCATTTATAGTTCGTCTGAACAGTACAAACATAGTATCTGCATGTTTCATTGCAGTTGTTAAAGCAATATCTGTTCTTGCACCTGCGGTTCCTGGATTTTGGTTTCCAACTTCACCTGCAAAGTCTTTGACAGATATTTGGTGTATAGGGAACATAAGTGGAACTGCAATATATTTGGCAGCTAAAGCATTTGAAATATCTGGGTCCAACATATAGACTGCAAGTCTGCTTTCTATTCTCTTGCATTCAAATTTTTCGCATGTAAACCTAACTGGGTCCCAAGCAGTTCCAGCAGCATTGAAATAATACTTTACTTCAGTGTTGAGGTTTGAGAAACCAAAGTCTAAGTCAACTTTGTCTTTGCAAAATTCGGCGAATGACGTTTGATTTGCTCCCTTTACGTCTGTAAGAGTGAATGGGTCTTGCGTTGGTGCAATGACTAAGTTATTTTTGCTTGGAGTAAGTTCAATAGAAATTTTTTCCTGCCCAGTTTGGCAAGTATCTTAAAAACCTGAAGATGAGGAAAGATGACAAAGGAACTCTAAGTTTCAGTTTTACTTTAGTGACAGCATTTCCATCTGAACCAGAAAGGTTAACATAAACTCCTGGAACGTTAGGGTCAAGTCTTCTTATTTTCTCAATAGTTGCATACTGGTCTGTTTGTTCTCTAGCTTGTGGTTGTACTGAGTTTCTTTAAAGCGAACCATTCATAGTTTGCCCATGTTACTGTTTGAACTAAGTCAGAGTTAGAATATATCTTATATCCCATGAAAACTTCTGGAGCATATTGGTATCCGACATAGAAAATTCCATTGCAACCTTTCTTGTCAGACAACTTGGCAGAAGGTTTTATTTCAATGTCTTGTTCCACGTATAAGAAAGAGTTGTCAATAGAAATTATATGAAACCTGTCGCAAGCAATATCTACTGTTGTTGAAGAACCTTCTCCAAACTCACCTACGTTTCCATAAGAAACAGCAGTTGTATATTCGTAAGTTCCAGGAACTATTTCTGACCTTCTAATGGCATTGTCGCATTCGTTATACCATTCGGAAACATTTCCATTCATAGCATCCAAAACTGTTGGCGTTATATTCTGAGCGGCGTACATTTCATATGAGTAAAAATATAGAATAGTTGGATTTATATGTCATAATAGAACCCACTCCGACCAAGCTTTACTTTCTTCCTGACTGAGTTTTTAACTCTTCTTTTTCCTTCATTGCCCTCTGCTTCAAGTTGTTGCATCTTTGCCTCATGTTCACCTAGTATGTTGTAAATTTCCCATGTCCTTTTTGCCTTTGGGCTCTGGTCGCCCATCTCAGGTAACCTATATCCTAGAAAGATTTTGTCATAGTTTGTATTTGAGTCTTCGCGTATTGTTTGCATGACTCTTTCCTGAGTTTCCGGTTCAAGCGCTTCAAACAGTGCCTGTCCATATGGAATAAGCTCGTTTCCAAATATATGTTTTTGTAGCCATTCTGGTTTTCTTTCCATGTTACCAACTATATCTTTTGTGAATGGGAAAGCTTTTACCCAATCTTTCAGTCTTGCGTCGTTTATTTCTGTAGTTGGTTTTATTTTGTCAAGGAACATGTTTTTCAATACTAACATTTCATTTGGTACTGTCCATTTGAGTTTTCTTAAATATTCATCCCTTCTCGATTCATCGTCTGCAAAGTAAGTTTTTATGACATTTTGTAAACTTTCGTTTGCAAGGTCATGTACAATAGGTTCTCTTCCTTCTCTCTCCCTAACTGTCTTTCTAAACTCTTCACCAAATATACCATCTCTATGGTTCTGTGTAGTTCTTTGAGATAAATGTTCTAGAACGTCAGGTGTTATATTTCCATCAGCCATGTTCATTTCATACTGGTCCAAAATATCTGCATGTTTCATATCTTTCAATGGCATTAAAGCCGCGCTTAAAATACCAGCTATATCTGGTTCACCATTGACTTCCATTGCGTCTACAACTTCTTGGAATTGTGGTTGTAAGTTTATGAACCACCTATCCGGATTAGCTTTATGACCCCATCTCATTGTAGTTCCATCGTCTGCAGAAACAAAAGTAGGTTTGTTTCCATCTTGGTTAGGTTCTGAATGAACTTTAAACAATGTTTCATTTCTATATGTTTTCTTGAAATTTAACCTTTTATTTTCACCGAGTTCATCCAAAGATTGAACGTTAAATGCTCGTAAGTAAAAAGGGTTGTTGTATTTGTGTACATTTTTTTTCAGTTCTTCCATTCTATGCTGGATATTTTCATCTGATGTTGGAGTCTTTTGTATGTCGGCAAACATTTTTCGATATTCTTCTACTATGTCAGCCGAATTTTTTTTAGACTCTTGGAAATATTCCATATTCTCCGCATACTCTTGTTGAGGGTCAAGATTTTTCGGCTGTTCCAAATCTTCATCTAGTTCTGTGAAGTTAGTTTCCAAAGGAAGGACTTGTTCGTTTCCTTCAGGCTCTTCTAGCTGTTGTTGCTGAACTATTTCTTCCATGTCTGGTTGTATCTGAACTTCTTCCTGTGGAGTTTCTTGTACCTCATCTGCTGGCATTTCATATATTCCGAGACCGTTTTCAACAATTTCCCTATCTACGTCATCCGCATTCATAAGCTTTTGTTCTTTCGTTCCGTCTCTATTTTTTACGCGTTTCATGACGAAAGTTGAATTGTCATTTAGCTCTGACATCAAATATCTCGGAGTAAATTCATCCATGTCATTTGGATGATATGCTATTAAATCATATCCCTTAGCGAGCTTGTATTTTCCAGGTTTGAGATTATATCCGTTTTGGTGCTGAGCCATAAAGCTAAATAGGTTCGGGTCAGTATTTCCATCCTTGAACTTTCCAATAGCTTCTTTATATCTGTCACTAAAGTCAACAGTATCTGGGAAACCACACTCTTCTTTAAGCATTTTTAAGAATTCTTGGTTTCCTTGTTCTCTACTTCTTTTATGTCCTTGCTCTGTTTGTGGTTGTTGTTGTGCAGGGTTTTGAACTGTTGGTTGCTGTGCTGGTTGTTGTGTTGGTTGTTGTGCTGGTTGTGGAGGTGGTTGTTGTGCATGCCTGTGTCTGTGTCCATGTGACGATGTAAATGTTCTAGGTAGTCCTGGTGCAGGTGCTTCTCTTGGAGGGTTTGGTGGTATATAAGTTCCACCAGCTGGCACATATGTTCCATCTGCAGCGTAATGTCCTACCTGACTTTTCGTTTTTAAGAAAGCATTTACTAGGTCTGTTTTGGTCTGTTGTAACTCTTTTTCTTGACTTTTCACAACAGTTGCTCTAACGGCGTCATAGGCACTTTGAACTGCCTGTCTCGTTGCTGCATCTGTTATTTTCGTCATATTTTGTGCTACTTCTCTTAACTCGTTGTCGAAACCTTCAGACTTCAGTTTCTTTCCAGATGAGAAGTCGTTCACTTGTTTCACCTTACTATGAAGAGCTTCGAAGGCGTTCTTAAAGTCAGCATTTGTTAAAGCTTCATTTGAACTGTCTTCATCCGCTTGTATTTTTGTCCTTATTGACCCTATAAGTTGGGCTGCTTTAGCGTTGGCTTGGGCATCTAACCAGTCATTATTAGCTTTTATATATTCTGCGCTTTTCATTGCCTTTTGCATGGCTGCGTCGTTATTTTTACTTTCTTGTGCTAAGTTTTCATACTGTACGGTTTGGTTTTGCAACTGTAAAAGTTTTTCTGCCTTTACATTTGCTTCAACTTCTTTTTTATACTCATCGCTATCCATATATGTCTTCAGGGCTTTTTGTTTTATCTCTTCATCTTTCAGTACTTTATATTGAGTAGTATGGTTTTTCAAATTTACAACATCTTGTTCCATTTTTGCTACTTCTGCTGCTTTTTCTGACACTTTTTTCGCATATTCCTCTGTACTTAGTTCTTTCAGTTGTTCTTCTTTCTTCTTTTTCTCTACGTTTAACTCATTGAGTTTCTTTGTGTGTCTGTCATATTCTAGTTTCTTTTCGTTTTCACTTATTTGCTTCTGTATGTCTATGTTTGACTTTTTGACATCTGTTATTTGATTTTTGAGTGAACTCAAATTCATTTGACTTTGAGGGTTATAGGCTGTTCCGTCTGCAGCTCCACCATAGCCTGCCATTTTCGCTAAAAGTGCCGCTCTTAAACCTCCACTCTGTGCACCAACAACTCGGTTTAAAAGCATAGGATTGCTTGACATTTGTTGCAACATAGTGGGTCATTCAGCATTTGTTGTTGCAACTGTTGTTGTGGTGTCAGTTTTACTATTGGATGTTTCAATGCTCTCTTCCTCTTACGTATATTCTTACGTAGCTTACGTGGCATTTTAAGTGAAGTTAAAAAGCGGTTTTTGACAGATGTTTATATGACACTTTTTGTTCAGCACAAAAAACTACTCGGTCAAAGTGTTGTCAGTTTTGTAAAATAACCGTCCTATCTCATTCTATAAGGGGGAAAGTCTTCTCAAAGTATACTTCCTTGGAACGCCTGTAACTTTTCCTGTAGCGACGATAGACCCTTACTTGTCCGGACAAAGCTGTACTATTTTGAGTGCTCTACAAAAAAGTCAACGGCTACGACTCTCAAAAACCGTTGTGTAAAAAGTTTTACCGTTGGACAAAAAAGTATATATAGAAAACAAAAAACGTTTATAGTTCATTCAATATTTGAGATGGAACGGTTTGCCAACGGTAACTATTAAATAAAATAAAAAAATAGAGGGGGTTACCGTTGACGAAAACGGTTTATTTTAAACTTTTCTATGAGTAGTCCGAAAAAAACAGTTTATTTTTGTCTAATGGAAGCCAACATTAACAATTCTCAACCGCTAACCAAAGCCAAAGCCCCACAACCTCCAAGAACTGGCACAGCTGTTAGAATAACCGCCAAAAAGTCTAACAGCGAATTAAGAGAAATTCTTCAACAAATTTGCTCTAAATATCTCAAAGACGCCGAAGAAAACACACAACCAGACGCTATATACAATACTCAGTTCTGTGAAGTTCTGAACAAAGCAATTGCTAGTTCAATTGAACTTACTAAGACAATTCCAAGTCCAATTGAGCTTAGCGATGTCTTAGTTCAGTATTTTCCAACATTTACTAAGCTTATAATGTTGAGAACTTTATACCAAGTTCGTCAAAATCTTCCTCGTTACATGCAACGGTCATTCGACAAGAGAATTGCCGAATTCCAAGTCTTTAGTTACGGATATGACCAAGATGAATACATTGACGAGTTCGGAGACAACTGTACAAAATGGTTTGACTGCTATACGACTACACAATTTGAATTCGACTTTCTCGAATTCAACGCAGCAACCATTTATATCATTGCTCTTTACCTTTCCGAACAACAACAAGACCTCGCAGATGGAGATGTTGTTACTGTCGTCATGGAAACTCCTGAACAATTCGGAAAAAAGAAGTCTCTAATTGCCAAATTTGTTCCAGGACATCAGCTTTTCCAACGCACAGAAGTCTTCTGTATTCCTGGAACTAAGTTCTTTGTCAGGAGCGAACTCAAAGAAAGATATAATGTGTCATTCAATTACACATTATATAATGTTTTCGACCCAGAAGAAGGCTTCTTCCCAGAAGCAATGGAGGAAGAAGAAGAGGAGGAGGAAACACAAGACTCTATCCAAGAAGAGTCCTCCGAATTCACACCAGAAGACTAACAATTTTCCGAATAAAAACCTCATTTTTTACTAAACATCTTCGGGGCTAGAAGGGGCGCAGCCCCTGGAAGCCCCACTACCTTTTTTTTTTTTTTTTTTTTTTTTTTTTTGATAGTACTGTGAAAAATGAAAGGTATTTTAAATTAAAAAAATGAGATTTTGAGATATCTCTAGAATTAAGAATTTATTATGTATTTGACTTTTATATAACTATGTGTAAAGGATCTCGATGTCTATATGCTTTAAATAAAATTAAATAAAATGAGATAAAAAATTAAAATGGACAAGAAGATATATGGAAATGTAATTTGTATTGTATTGGTTGTTGGCAAAATGATTTTAATACAGATTTAAGGATTTGGAATGGATTTGAAATTAAATGATTTTAATTCAAGGAGTAATAAGATTTTGAACTGGTTTTTATTTTGTGAATGTAAACTCCTTCCATAGGATATGTATTAGAAAGATCAATGTCAAACTTTTTGAAAGAATTGTTTTTTTGTTGAGCGATTTTCTCATAATTAATAATATATTTAAGTTGGCGTATCTTACGCCCTTCCAAAAATATGTATTAGAAAGATAAATTTTAGACTTTTTGAAAGAATTGTTTTTTTGTTGAGCGATTTTCTCATATTTAATAATATATTTAAGTTGGCGTATCTTACGCCTTTCCAAAAATATGTATTAGAAAGATCAATGTCAAACTTTTTGAAAGAATTGTTTTTTTTGTTGAGTGATTTTCTCTCATTTGATAATATATTTAAAAAAAAAAAAAAAAAAAAAAAGGTAGTGGGGCTTCCAGGCACTTCGTGCCTTCTAGCCCTGAGGATGATTGATATAATGAAGTTTTTTTTTCTTGGGGTGGGCTTCCAGGCACTTCGTGCCTTCTAGCCCACATAAATGAAGTTCTTATATACGGGTCTTCCAGGAGCTTTTCACAAATTATATATGTTTTCATGTTTTGTCGAAACTTCTTCGTAAATTTTTGTCAAGACTTCTTCGTAAATGTTTTGTCATGATTTCATCGTAAATGTTTTGTCAAGACTTCTTCGTAATGAGCGTAAATGACCAAAAATAATGTTTATGTTAGCATGTTAGATCTAACACGTTTTCTAACATGTTTTCTAACATCGTAGAAAACTCATGAATTTCATCGTAAATGTTTTGTCAAGACTTCTTCGTAAATGTTTTGTCACTTTTCTGTCACTTTTCAGGTAAAAACATTTTTATTATATATATAAAATGAATTTTACAAAACCACCGTTACCCTTCTTTGGAAATAAGAGTAGATGTAAAGATATTCTATTGAGAGAACTTAAGAAACTACCGAATGGTCTAACATTTGTAGATTTGTTCGGTGGAAGTTTCTATATATCCCATTTGTGCCATACAATATTCCCAGACTCAAAGATTATATGCAATGACTTCGACAACTATATGGACCGTCTCAAACATATACCAGACACAAACAATATATTGAAAGAGTTAAAAGAAAAGATACCTATAGGTAAGATGGAACGTATACCATTAGATAAAAAATATATTGTAGGTGAAGTTTTGAAAAAAGCAGAATATATAGACTGGGATAGTATATCTGCTAGACTATTATATAGTGGTTCTATAAGAGTTCATGACATTGAAACACTTATGTCAAAAGTTTTATATCTTAACTATACAAATGTTTTCAAAGAGGACATAGAAAAATATATTGAGGGTATAGAGTTTGTGAGATGTCATTGGACAGAGTTGTATGAAAAATATAAAGACAAGGAAAATATTTTCTTTATAGTGGACCCGCCGTTCTATAACACATGCGATTTTCAATACCAAGTAGACTGGACTTTGAGAGACTCTTTAGAAACTTTAGACGTTATACATAACCATCCATGCTTTTACTTTACATCCGATAAAAGTGGTTTGGAAACCGTTATGAGATGGTTAGAGGACATACATGACTATGAGTTTAGATATGACAAGATAGAATATGAGAGAGGTCCTATAAACCGGAGAAAGTGTCATAACAAAGAAATTTTACTAGTAAGTAAATGTGGTTTGAAATAGGACTACTTGTTTTAGGTTTTTTCCATTGTGTCATTTATTTATTTGACGTGGCAGAAAAGTACAGAGAATATGAAGATGAACCAATGCCTGCAAATGTTCAGCATATGTACTCGTAAGAGATATTTTTATCTAATATTAAATGGACGCACAGAACTTAGCGAATGCACAGCAACCTGGACAACCAAACCCAGAGAATATTCCAAATGAAGTTAGAATACAAACTGCAATGGCAAACTATGGTCAAGTGCCAACAGATGTACAAATGCAAACTGCCATGTCAAATGACGCTGCGTTAGGTTTGCCACCATGGTATGCAAATATGAGATGGAAAGAGTTTTATACAAACCCTGAAGTGGGATATAAACAACTTTATGCAGATGACGCGAACACAGGAGTTGACCCAGAATATGTTTTCTACCAGAGGAGAAACAGAATGTATGAGCTCCAGTTAAAAAATGCTATGGAACTCAGAAGGAAACGTAAGAGACTAGGTGGACATTAGATTTTTACATATAGTAAAATGGGTTTCTTTGGAAGAATATAAACTTCTTTCGAAATGTGGAAGAGGTATATGGAATGGAATAAAATCTGTCGGAAAGGAATGGACGGAG